ATGATGAGTGGTGTATGATGAGTGGTGTATGATGAGTGGTGTATGATAAGTGGTGTATGATGAGTGGTGTATGATGAGTGGTGTATGATGAGTGCTGTATTGAACAGCTGTTGAATGTCCGTAACACGGAAGTTTTGCACACTAAACTTCCTTTGATAATACACACACAGCTGTCTGCTTGTCTGGGCGTTTGCTGGATGATCTGGGTTGTTGGAGCCTTTGACATGTTTCCCGACATGTTTCCGAATTAGTCCATGAGTGAGCAACAACGATCACGCGCATGCGCTGCATAGGTCTTCATGCTCCGTGTACAGTCTCTGCAAATGAGCGATGATTCGATCGTTGCTCATCGAACAGCCATTCTCTGAGGTCTCAACCACCCGACCATGTGAAGTCGTGAGTGGTGTCGAAGTCAGTGCCAAAAAGCACCTGTGCAACTGCTGCTCAGGATGGATCACTCCTATGGGTGGCCAACTAACAGCCTTGACCTCAGACCTCAACTACACAGTATCAATTCCAGATCAAACATAAACTAATAAAGCACTATCATATGGTGGGGTTAAATGGGAGGACGAAGTGCCAAATAATTCGAACGTGCCAGAGTCCCAACGTCCAGAATTTAAAGTCTGAGGGTGGCTGAGGCCTGCACTGCTGCACCACTCGAAGCCTAACAACACTTTTCTTTCAAGGCATTGACAGTTATCAAATCAGCGACAGAACAAAACACTGAAAGCACCCACAAGAGCTCCTGAACCTTAGATGTGAACAGTCGACAAAAAACCATCTGAAGCCTTCGCAATTCTCAGTAGCATCTCACAATTCTCGCCATCAAGTTCTCTCGTCACCAAGATGCAAACGAAGCCAGGGCGGCGCAAATGGCGACCAGGATCGTCAGAACTTGGAGAAAGGAGAAACGGAACAAAAAGAGAGTCAAAAAATCGAAACTCAAGGGAAAGTTGAAAGGAGCAAAGAAAATTCATAAAACGGCAATCGTCTCTTGTATGATGGCATGGAAGTGAGATGAGAGAGGTATGATGTGAGGGATCTTAGCGATTGTCAAAACATCAATCAAAGGCCTGATGTCGAAAAAACTGAATGTACCTTGGGTATATCCAATTCCCTGTAACAGTGGATGATGATGGTTAGTCAAGCCCTTCCTGAAAATAGTGATCATCGTGTACCGACTGTTTCATGTAATAGGACACCCAGAAAATGTACGACTCAAGTCGTGCCATTGTCAGGCTTCAAACACCCAACCCTCTAGGAGTTTCACCTCCCTTCGCCATGGCCAAGCGGAGGGGCCGCGGCCGGTCAGGACTTGGGCCGGCCTTTGCGTAAAAATTTCCAATCGAATTGAGCGGTTCCAAACGAGTCATGAGGGTGCAACGAATCTGACAATGCTTTTAGGGGTTGATGGGTCGAGCTCTAGGCTAGCTCAAAAATCTCTGAAGATTCATGAAGTCTCAAGCCCCAGGTTTGGAGAGACAAAAGGAAAGTAAAAAGAACTTTCAAAAACAGCCGCAGCCTATCTCAGCTTGATTGAACTCTTTTGTCTCTTTTGAACTCTGCGACTGCGTCAAATGCAGCACCACTTGTCGCGGCCTTGCCAATATGGAACGGGAAAACACATGAAAAAAGGACGCAAAAATAAACAAACTTTGCTTGTGGCTATCCGACCCGAGACTCTGTGATCTTTCAGCTTTATGCTTTACCCGAACTGATACCGGTTGGATATGACGAACCCCCTTCGCAAATAGCCTTGCAATAAACTGATCAGTGAAATGGAACCCTGCCAACTGACTGTAGGCAAAATGTTCCACCGTTGCAAGCAGGGTTGTCTCCGAACGCGATGGAACGCGTGTATGAACATGTTGAGCAAAGCAATTGAAGTGTCATGCAGAAGGCGAAGCAACCAAGGGTTGGAGTCAAGCTTTCTGTGCCTTGCTTGCAGCGCTCATCAAGCGCATCTTCTGCAGAAGATGCCTGAAACTTTCAGGCCCGCTCATGGATTCCCGCTCATGGATTCAGAATGAACATAATAAAGCAAATCGTCAGAGTGAGATTCTAACAACACATTCACCTATGCTGGCTACTGGCTAGCCTTTTAGCAGGCTGCCTCTTGACCGCTAGACCGAGTTCATGGAGATGGCATACCATACCTTGCCTGTCAAACGCTGCAACGGCAATGTTTTTCCTTGGCTTGGAGCACTATCCATAGTATAACATTACTGATTATTCCTGTATTTGTAGAACAAGGTTCATTTTGATCTTGCGGCTGTCCAGGATGGGTTGATCCTCCATGATTTTCAAGCGCAGGCCTTTGAGAGCTTCTTAGTCACCACCTGGAGCCACAAGCATTGCAGTGAAATCGGCTACAAAAGCTGCATCAGTGCGACCGTTTTTATCAGCAATAATATAGTAATTTGATTGCTCCGGCCTTGTAGCCCCACATGCCGGTCTTCTCCCGAACGCTCACGGTCTTTGCCTGCTTCTTAAGACGCTTGTCCAGTTGCCTTTGATGCGGCCGCGGCGTTGCTGTCCAGAAGCAGGAATTGAAAGCAAACAAAGCAGCACTCGCTAAACAAGGGTCATTGGAACCGCCTGAAGTGGCGGTGCGTTTGGACGTACTTCAAGATATTCAGAGACCACCCCAACCAACAACTATTTTGCAAAGCAACACCAACTGTTTTCTACCGCCTGATCTCCCTTACAGTAGGATGCCTTTGCAACTCTCTTGAAGCAGCATCTTGCAGAAGCTCAGGGTTGTCCTCCTCGATCTCTGCCTGCTGCTCTTAAGACAACACTTGATGTGTTTTGACAAAACCCAACATACAATTCAAGGCATTAGCACCGTACACTGTGCACACAAATGATCACAAAGTAATCACCTCAGCCCTCCCAAAGGCAGCCATTCCTTTCACTGGGTTACGCCCTTTCGATAATTGCAGCCTAGCTTTCACACACTCAGCTCAAAAGCAGGAATGAGTAGCAGCCAAAAAACTGTCCTCTTGGAAAGCACTGTCGCGCCTCTTGACAAGCGGAAATGCTAGAATCTAGCTAGAAAGTAACATATCCCATGGCTCATACAATCACAAAAACACAGTCTTACTTGCATAGCATGCAAACCTACCACTGTGACATTCCAAACGCAGTATCTGCTGACCCGTGGCAATGCAAGGGGAGGCTGCATGCGTGTCAAACTTGGGCCCTGTTGGTGTGTGGGTTAAGGCTGCTGGCGGGGGGCATGTGGGTGGGTGTGGTTGGGGTTGGGGACTGGGGCTGGACACAGTTTGATAAAGCTGCGCTATGCTGCGGGGGTGAGCCTTGAGGCAAAATCTATTGGCCGCGATGGGCTCATTTGACATCATTTGATGCCACCTTGTGGTTGTACCGTTTCGGGGCAGAACCTGGTGCAAGGGCACTTTTGACGCCACATGACGCCACCCTAGATTGGCACTGGCACCTGTTGGAAGTGGGTGGAGGTGCTGTGTAATCTGTGTGATGTGTTGGGGGGATGTTAGTTGTCACTGCTGGATGATCGGGCCAGGGACAGGCGTTCGGGGTTGGCGGGACAGTGCAAACTTAGAATGACCCAAGGAGTTTTACTTGTTGACCGCGTCCACAAATCATCTGATGAGAGCTCATCTGAGTCTTGCTCCTGTTTGCTGTTTGGAGACTTACTGTATTTATATAAACGGTTCTTTCAAACAAAAAAGGTGCTGAATTATGTAAGGATGAAGAAACACGAATGGTCAAGAAGGTGTGTGGGTGCAAGGAACCACATCGACCTTGGCTCTTTCTCTTGTTGGGGCGCTGCCAAAAAGATCCTACAGGGTGTCAGCGGAGAAACTAAGTGTGTCCCGGTACCCATCGGGCCCATCGGTGGCCTTAGCCTTCTCTTTGATCTTCAAAGAGTCTTTCCCTGACAGCAACCAATTTGCATGTCTAAAATGGAATCAGTAATATGTTATCATTAATCCCCGCACCAAAGCAATGTTGCACACGCGAAACATGTTGCAGGAATTATCGCAATTACAACTTCCCAGTGACAATGCAGAATAGCATATCAGCATATCTCAAACGCGTCAGAGTCACGAATGTGATACCTAGGCCCAGATTTGACAACAGATCAGGAACCCCTCAAACTTGTAATAATATCTCTACTTAAAATGTCTCCGAATTGATTGTATAGATCGTATACACATGAAATCTGCACCTTCAACATAGAATGTAGAAACCGGGCAAACCACTGTGGAAGAGTTTGCAACACAGAAAGAGGCTGGATCTGTGAAAGTTGCAGCGCGCTCTTTTCCTGACTGAGTCTGCAACTCGCAGGTGGAGGAGAGATCCTGGCCACAATTCACTCTCCATGAGTAACTTCTTTCAATTCAATCTGAGCAACATCTCCTTTCTAGTCTGATGTATGCTGAATACCAGTCTTTATCACTATACTATATACAACAAGTATCTACAAGTCGCATTAAAAACCGGGGGCAAACAGAAACGGCACTAGCGTAAGGTTTAACAACACGCAAAGCTACCCTCATTGGGAACAACACTTACATCGACATGACATGGGAGATAGATGCGTAGGTCTGACCGACGTTAGCATCGTTGCCTCACTTCTGGGGGTGATGACCGGCCGACAAAAGGTCGGTCACAAAATAAGTGTGGCGGGTGCGTAAATTGTTGTTCAACACGTTGCTTGAACCTCAGCTAAGTCGCAATGAAGGCACGCCACAAAGCACGTCATGCTCGATTGTTTGGAAGCACTTCAAGCCTACAAACTTCTAACGTGCATCTGTTTGAAGTCTGCATTCAGCGTCAAGCTCCGCTTTCTTATCGACATTCATGCACACATGTCGAAACAATCTGCACACTGTTCACAACTGGAAAGAATCTCGCCAATCAGCAAGTGGCTGCAAGCGTGGACGGCAGACTGCATGTCGCGGCCTTCTGCCATGTGACAGAACGTCGTGCCCTGCGTTAAAGGTTGTTTGACCCTGAACTATTGGGCTCCAGGTCATTTGGCCATGAGTCATCATAATCTGGGTCTTGCGGCACGTCGTCTGACTCTGTGCCGTCTGGCAAGGAATCGTAACTTTCTGCAAAGCCCTCACGATCGATTAAAATGCTCGTATCCGTTCCCATGATCTCCTCGAGACTGTATCCTGCGCTTCGAATGCTCGCAAAATGCAGCCTTGGCGTCGTAGCAACGTGAAAACACGCGACTCTCTCGTTCAAACAATCATGTCGTCAAGAACAAAAAAAACATATATATATATATAAGATTATAAAAGAAACATGTCACGCCCAGCAGCCAAACCTGCTGAAATATGGAGAGTCCGACTTCTTCCTGTACTTCCTGTAGGAGTTTGATGGTTCTCCAGCGATGAAAATATGCCAGGCATTGTTCATCGTCCACTTCATCACCTTCTGTCCAGTCACCCAGCCATGATGGGTCCACTTCCAAGATCTGAGTGAGGTACATAGGGCATCGGGCTGGATTCACCTCCCAATCTGCATTGTGTAGGAAAATGTCTTTTGCAGGACGTCCTGGAAGTGGTGGCTTCTTGTCGCACATCTCCACTGAAAGGCCGCATAAATAACACCAAGAGGTCTGACAGCGCGGGCAAGACATGTGCGTGCAGGCTTCATCCTTGCGCCCTGCTAGGCCGCAAACTGGACCTGGTCTTGCAAAAGTTCGAGACGACATTGAGAGAGGATGCGCCCCACGAAAACAGAAGTGTGACAGTGTGGAGAATAGGGCAGGCATGGATGCTTTGTTTAAAGTCTAAATTTGTGGTTCTGTGGTGGAACATACGAACATGCCAAATCATCCAATCATCCTAGTCTTTGCTTCAACAGCTCTAAAGGGTGGAGGCCACCACAATGAAGGACAAATCTTCTAACTATGGGCCAGGTGGGCAAGGCATCTTCTGCCCTTGATCAAACGCCAGGTCAACTTTTTGCTTGGCCTCCCTGAGAGCACAGCAGCCGATCACATGAGGTCTCAACAAAATGTCCAAGTCCTGAGCGGTCAAGCATGCTAGCTTCCCAGCGTTCTCCATTGATGTCCAGCCAAAACTGAGTACTTGTTGGGTTAGCTCACTTTGTGACTACCTACAAACATCTGAGATCATCTGCGGCTTGTGGGATGACCTAAACCGCTCGTGCCTTCAGCTCTTCCTCCGATGCCACGCTGCATGAGGAGGGCAAAGGCCTTGACAAATCGCAAGTCCGTAGATGCTGAAATCTGTCCAAAGGAAAGGCTGAAACTTTCTCACTAAAGTGAAGGGAACAAAACGATGCAACTATTTTTCTCGCTGTGTTCAGTATGCCTTGGCATATCTCATCCACACCCCCGGGTTGATCT